CCGTAACTCGCATGAATTCTGACTTCGGTACCTGTAACAGCGTAATTCAGCGCAATACTCAAACAAGAAACGTTTATAGTTAAAATTTTATGCTTGAGAAAAGTCCTTAGCTTCATGTTGTCAAGAAAACCATAAAAGCACAAAGCCTATTGACAATTTTATCTCAAGGGAAATCCTCACTCCTCATTATAAAATCTTCAAATTTCTAGAAAATTCATATATAACATGAACCCTAAATCAACCCTTGAATAGAGGGAGGGGGGAGGGGGGGGGGGGGGGGGTAGCATTCAAGGATTCTGAAACTCCGTTTAGTGAGACTTAAAAACCATCGTGGTTGGCCATTCCACACTCTAGGATCGAGTGAATGGAAGTTGACTCCATTTATCCCTGAACACGTGAGTGAATACGCTAACCGCTGTGTCTTCAAAAAAAGTTGCCCATACGAAATTTTATTTAACAAAATTTAAAATATTTAATCTAACTTGACTGGCATACATACTGATCGTTCATTATTAATGAAAATAGAAAGAACTCCCTCAACAATGACTGATAATTCAATAAATTTTGAATTTGCAGTAAAATTCATGTTGGTTATCGCTATTACTATTGTTGGACAAGAAGTAATATTTAAATTCCTCCGGAAGATCTATATTTGCGATAGCTGGGCCTAAGCAAAATTTATTTAACGAAAAAATTCCCATGGAAGACTCTAATTTAATCTCATCAAGTCAATCGGTAATAATTGGCAGAAATTTCTCGAACGATATTAATCTGGATAAGCAAAAAAGACCTATTTATTCTCCCTAATTTATTTGAATGAAAATTTATTCATTTTTTTGTTTAACCTGATAATTTTAGGAATATTTTTTAATAATTCGCTTCGTTGTTAGCAATATGGAAACCTTGAAGGATAAACTTTGAAATACAATGCGTACGGCAGCTCAAATCACTTTTTAAATCTCTCCTTAGCAATTATTTAAACATCAATTAAATATTGAATTCAGTTTACAATTAATTTAAGATTACATTAGAAAATCACATAAATTGAATTATATAAACCTGTGGGTAAATTGATTTAGTGCTGACTATAATTTAAATAGCAAATTTCCTTGTTCGTACTCATATACAATAATAACAACATGAAAATTTTGTAAACAGAACTTACCTGATTACGAATAGTGTGTTTGGTAGAAATTTGAAAGGAATGCATAGGTTCTGAACTACGCAACGGTACGTTGAAACCGCTATTTCGTTTGCGCATTTTCGATAGTGGTATATCCGGAACACTTCTCGAACGAGAACCCGTATGTAAACTAAAATGAATAAAATTTCCCTTAATAACCTTTTATCAAAACCAATTAACAAAATTTAAATGGATTACGCCTGTATATCTCTCGCCATGTTCACCAGGTTTTTCTTTATGGCGAAATGGGGGTTGGAATTAACCACAACCTGGCAAATGTAAGAAAAATGACCAATAGAAACATGATAACATTCTTCGCCCTCTCATCGTGCGCTGCAATCCGATTGGTAGCCAGTTCATCCTCCCTTCAGATTGGCTAAAATGTCTACGTTGGGCATACAATTGGCTAACTTCTTAATTCGTGTTCAATAGGTAAAATGCGTTATAAATTTAGAATAACTGGATTTCATCATATTCATAAAGCTATTTAAGACACTTAAATCTGGTTTCTAAAGAAATAAAACTACCCTTTAAAATAGTCATATACCTAATTATCTTCATTTTATTATTCTTGTCTTTAAAGCTCCTTATTTGTGATTCTTCAAAATATGGTCAGAGTACTTCAAGATCTGAGAAAGTAAATACTTATTAAAAAAGTACAATTAGCAGGAAAAATGTAAATGAACCACATTTTGGTAGATCATAATACTTAACATGAACCAAAAATTTCAATGGATGACTGTAATTTATCAATTTATTTTCACGTTATTCTAAACCATTTATTACTTACATTCTTAGGCAAACTTCTCAAATATTTGGAAATTGCAGTGCTTTCTTCAATTTTTCCAGTTCTAGGCAAATAATGCATTATATTATATAAGAGATAAGATCAAATATATTGTCAGTGCATATGTCATCGTTTTCTTTGAAAATCCAATTAAAATAATAAGCGAAATGGAAATTCCCAATGGGCTTTGCCACAAAACTGTACTTCTTGAAGCATCACACTTTTGAGTAAGTTCTGATATCGCAAGTAAATAAATTCATTACGATATTGGCCGGTGTCAATAACTGCAACACATTGGTGGGATAGCTTAACAAAAAATAAAAACATAATTGTTAGCCAAAAATCTTTAATGACTTGACCAACTTCTTCAGCGTTGAACTTTGAAAAAATGGCTGAAAATTTCACATTTGCCGAGAAAATAAGGGGAAAAAATATTATTCGGAAAAACGCCATCTGAGTGAATATTTGAAAATTTCGAATGTCTTTGGAAAGCAACTTGTAGACTCAATTGCTAACCCTTCTGTTTAAAACGAATTACTAGACAAATGACAGAAATTTGCATTTCCTTTTAATTGATCTCTGGACTCATATCTGACCAAACTGTGCTTGGTTGATTATACTATCAATGCAACGTAGAAAACCCTGTTCTCGGAAGTATATTGACGATTATATTAACTAAAAGGGTGGGATAACTAAAGTGGTGGGATATTGATTTTCACATTAATGGTGGGAATTGCGCTACTTGTAGCCTTTAGGTAAATTCTAATCGACTGACAAAGTGAATTGTTTCAATGGCCGGTTATTTATTAACCGAAATGTTATGCAATGAGTCATAGGGAATGCATTTAAGTTATTAATAATTAAGTTTGAAATGATTCTGAACATTTACTTGTGGAAAAATATAAAACTCACCAAAGAATATTTCCTATTTAAATTAAAATGCACCTGTAATAAAACAAACGAGACCTTTATCACTTATACCAGAAAGAATACTTTAAATCGAACTGCTGCAAAAAATAAAAAGTAAAACTTCATAGGGATCTAACGCACGTGACTATATTTTTCATGAACAATAAAGATCTGCCTTCCTGAACTAATTTATCATAACGTCAATGACTGAATTGTTCAAAGGGGAAATTAAATTTTGATGTAATTCAAAATGAAAATAATAATAAATATCAAATGTCAAAATGCAAGATCTACAAAAGGACCGAGTCGAATGAACATTGGTAAGTAATTTTATGTTGAATTTCGAAGATCCACCTTATAAATATTTCTTCTGATTCTTGCAGCTGAAGGAAACAAAGTGTGAAGAGAATGGAAGGAGTCCGTTTTCAACATTGGCAATTTTTTGAATGTCAGGGGGGGGGGGGAAGCGTAGTGCTTTCGGTGTAAATGACTTTAAAAGTAACAAAATAAGAAAGTTATTTTGGAGCGAAATTGTTTAAATTACCATGACCTGCGTCAGAACAGACTGATAATAGCTATACTCAAAGTAGCACAAACATTTCATATTAATTTTTTAATTCTAGATTTAGTAAGCCCTTACACAGACTGATATTTAAACTATTATTGTTATCAGTAATGAAAATATCGATGTCCCTAACAGAAGTCTGGCAGCACAATCGAAACTCTCTTCAAAATTTATAAACGAGTGGCATTATAACAAACTATGCATGTATTAAATGTTTGTTCATCATTTGCGAATTAATAGATTTAAATCTAAAGCAAATAATTCGATATATAATGACATTTTTTGGTCATTAATTGTTAATCATTCAGCATTAGACTATCGCCAAGTTTTAAATGTTTAAGTTCGGTAAAATTTACAAGTGTTGGAGTCTTCATCTAGCAAAGGTGGATGCAAAAACAGTCAATTTGAAGGGATGTTTGATATTTAGTCAGCATCAATTTAATTAATTATTTGAATTAAATTAAAGCAAAACTATCATAATTGTCGAATAAGGTACCTTTATATTATGAAATCAAGATTTTTACACCCCAGTAATTAAATTTTAGGTATAAAGTGTTTTAAAGGTATTAGTCGAACCGCGATAGCTTGGTGCATTTAGGCTGTTTTAGAGACGTGGTTATATCGGTATTTTAAACTTTATTATAAATCTTGATATATTATTATGATGACAAATAAACCAAAGTTTTGCTAATTATTCTATAATAGAATTGACAAATTAACTAATATTCTGCTATATATAATCCGATATTTCTTTTAGTAAAGATGCTAATATTTCAAATAAAAATATGTTTGCAATTATTATATTACCAGTGTTTTAATAAATATCAGTTCATAAATGTTTAGCCTTTCGTATTTTTTACAGATTTCAACTCACCTTTCCTTAAAACTATTCATGACATTTGTTCATTGCCTCAGCTATCCCTTCTTCCTCAATGTCTTTAGAATACCTAATGAAGAAATCCCAGCAAGTCACAGAGGAACTGGTGTCTTCCCTCTGTCCAGAGAGTTTGGATCTCTTCACTCTGGAGCCTTTTAATTCACTAGCATTTCTTGATTCTCTTATTGATTCGGAAAACCCAAATCACAATACTCAGCCACCAGTCTTCTTTCCAGATCTTTCACTTCCTTTAGTTTCCTTTGATGCTCATGTTCCTCGAAACCTCGAAACTGGAGAATGTGAGGAAGGTAAGTTTTCATGATTGTAATCAATATTTTATTTATTATTTTTTTCTGTTTTAACGTCTTTGGAATTCTATCAATTCCAATTCGCTATTGATTGAAGAATCTATCTTTCTTTCATCCTTTTGTTGCATTTTTTTGAAGTGCTTTTGCTTTTATAACTGTGGGATTTTAACCCTGATAAGCAACCTAACTCTACAGAAATCGACCTCAATTTCCTAATACGAATGTAATGTGGTTGTTTAATAAACTAGATCTAAGTTAGATAGTAATGATTATTTGTTTGGAGAAGCACAGAGATTTTAACAAAATTTTTACTGTGTTTTTGGTAATTATATGTTTAGGTCTTTAGAGTGGAGTTTTCTTCTGTCGCAATTATGCTTCAGGTGTTCAATCAGTATTCTATCATTTTAGGTGATGTTGATTATACCTGTTCTGGAAACCTTTTCACAACCGATAAATCTGGACAAGACGGAGGCAGCTCATCTTCAGCGTTACCAATAGACGACATCTTAAACTCCCTTTCATCTGACTGGCAAAATAATGGACACGCTAGGAGTTTAGGTGAAACCTTCCTCAAACCTCCTTTGCAATCAAATATTGTACTCAACAGATATTTGTCACTCTGTTCAGACGCCAATCTTCCTATTCGTGCTGATGTTAGCCATTCTGAATTTGTTCCCGAAGAGGCGAAATCGTCAGTCGAAAGTGAAGTAGTCCAGGAATTAGAAGTGGGTGAAAGAAAATTGGATCCAGAGACTCCAGCCACACTGGAGATGAGATTACGTCAATCAAAAAATCCCGATCCAAAAGTTTATGCTATTCTTGTGGGTGATTCTACTTATTTAATTTCAATAACTGATACAAAATAAATTAATTTGTTTTTTTATGCAGGAGTCAAGTGGCGAGAAACTACCACCACTCAGAGAGCTAGTACCGGAGCCTGCTTTCGAATGGCCTTTTGAGTTAGACACATTCCAGAAACAGGCAATCGTCTGTTTGGAGAATGATCGTTCAGTTCTTGTGGCTGCACACACATCGGCTGGTAAAACAGTTGTAGCTGAATACGCTTGTGCAATGTGCAAACGTCGTGGTTCTCGCGCTATTTATACCAGTCCTATCAAAGCTCTCTCTAATCAGAAATTCAGAGATTTTCGGCACACATTCGGAGAGGATGTTGGTCTCTTGACAGGTGACATCAAAGTGGCTCCCAAGTCGAGTATCCTTGTCATGACAACTGAGATCCTTCACAATATGCTCTGTAATTCTGCTGACACTATTCGTGACCTTGAAGTTGTTATAATGGATGAGGTAAGTAATCAATATGTGCTCTAGCTTTTAACCCCCTCTTCTACCATCATAATGGCGTAATTTATGATCCCTTCTCAGGTACATTACATGAATAATAAGGAGAGGGGCCATGTTTGGGAACAATTGATGATTTTGCTTCCGCAGTATGTAATTCTCGTGCTTTTGAGTGCAACTTTACCCAATGCGATGGATTTTGCTGATTGGTTGGGTCGAATTCGCGGCGGAACTACGATCCACGTGTGCCAGACCCCTAATCGACCAGTGCCGCTGGAGCATTATCTGTATACCGGATGCGATACTGCTACGAGGGAGAACACGTATTTGGTGGTGGATAAGGATAGTCAATTTAGTCGTGCAGGTAAGCCCAAATTTATCTCCTCACTTAATTCCTTGAATATACTCCCATACTGGAATTGGGTAATCTGTTTGCATTTATTATCGTCATTCCTCCCTTGCAGTTTAGATCGATTCCAAAAATATCGATCTCAGAATAAGCACCTCGAACAAATTTTGTCTAGGGGTATCTCTTCACAGAATTTTACAATTTTTCCAAAGCATAACAGGTTACAAAACTTCCAATGAGAGAAGTTCCCTTCCTTTTCCACGATTGTTCATGTGCGCTTGCAACTTGATCGAGATGATCATTACTTCAAAAAGTGGCATAACAAGAGTTCCCAAATTCGTTAAGTTAAAGTGTCCTTTGCAGAAGATTAGCTTTGTTATAAAAAAACTTGCACTTTGGCACTTCATTAATTGACCATCTTTTCTGTTCCCCACCCCTCGACTTTCTGCTACTTTGATGAACCTTCCCTCTGTGAAGTCCGAAGTCATCTAAATGGCTAATGATATCTATCAAAAGGCCTGCCATTTGAAATAAATAAATTAATTAATTGACCATCTGTGGATCTACCACTGCTGCTTTTTATTCTTGGTCATCATTTCGACTAGTTACACTAGCAACCGGGTGTCTGAATGTGGCTACAATTTGTCATTAATTACCCTCACACTAGTCAGCTGAATATCTGTCTCTTTCGTAGACTAAATTCAAGTTCATTCACTTGACTTTGTTATAGTAACTTCAAGAGGCGTTTATCTTCATCTATTTCATAGGTGATGCGACATTCACTGGTTTAAGCAATCACCGAGCAATAAAACGAGTATAACTGAGACCGTTTAATCCAAACCTAACATTTACTTTAATGGTACATTTTACTCTATTTTAGGCTACTTAGAGGCTAAGGAATCGCTGACCAAGCCGAAGAAGGTCACCAAGAAGGGCAATGTCTCCGGTGGACTAGAAACTTCTGAAGATGCTGAAGAACTTGCCCTTAAAGCGGCCAAAAAGAAGCCCAAGTCTCAGTACACTGGAGGCAAAGTCAATACTCCTGGTCGTCAGAACTACATGCCAAAAACGGACAAAGACGCTTACGATCGTAGCAAGAAAACCGCTACTACCGTGTGGGTGGGACTGATAAGAATGCTCAAGGAACACGAGCTCATGCCTGTCATTGTTTTCTGTTTCTCTCGGGCCAAAATTAATAACCTTGCTCAATGTCTATCGTCTGTCGATTTACTCAGTAAACGTGAGTTAATAAGATAATTCCTACTTACACATAATTAGTAGTGTTCTATTTGGTGAATTCTTAGTTTAGCGGAGAAAAGTGAAGTGATCAAATTCCTTCGTGTGGCCGTTGGATCACGTCTGAAGGGTTCGGACAAGTCGTTAGCTCAAGTACTTCTTATCCGATCACTTGCTGTTCGAGGTATTGCTATCCATCACGCTGGTATGCTACCACTCCTTAAAGAGGTAATTGGTTCACTTTCAGTTGGACACTTTTGCTCATCCTGACTAGTTTGTTCCTTCTGCTTACTCTTTTGCAGGCTGTTGAGATGTTATTTCAACGTGGATTAGTACGAATTCTTTTCGCAACAGAGACTTTTGCAATGGGCGTTAACATGCCTGCTCGGTGTGTCATTTTCACTTCCCTTCTGAAACACGATGGAAGTCAACATCGACCTCTCACAGCAGGTAAGATCTTTCCAATCGTTTTTTATTAAATGGCAGGCTCTGTGATAGTTATCATTAGCCCTTGGTGGTTGGCTTCGGGGACTACACATAGGGGAGGAACAGACAAAGCCACAAAAGTCGAGAGTGGGTGGGGGGGGGGGGACTAACAGAAGAGTGTATCACAGATGTAAAAGGGGCAGACACAAAGGTAGAGATAAAGGTAAGGTGAGGTGAGCACTGTGGAAGTGGCGGAATATGACGTGCAGTCGGGTCATGGTAGTGAGAAGTCAACTGCCTGTTTATAGGCCGCATTGTTTGCTATATGACTGTACGTTGCCCAGAGTGCATCACATGGAGGTACGTCTATCTCGCACCTAATCTCACCAATCATCTTCTCATAAAACCAATGAAAAGTTAAAAGAAATGGTTGATTTCGCATTTGGTTATTTGCTCTAAGATAATCAGTGGAATTATGATGAGTTAGAGGCGATAGGGTTGCAGTGAACGAGCAGAATGTGGATTTAAGGAAAGGAACTTGTCTTTAGAATGTTAGAATCTTCTTTACGCTTATTGTCAGTTGAAGATATGCCCATTTTTTTGTATTCTACTCGTGTTTTGTTGGTTTTAAGATGACGTCTATTAACTTGAGATACCCAAGATAAATTAAAATGCTTCGATTAATAGTCATTGGGCGCTCTTAATGCGGGAGTAATCAAATTATCTAACAGGGGGAGTAGAGGGGAGATGACAATGAATAGGGGGTGCAAAATAAGTCACTGTCCAAAGCATTTTGCTTTTCTACTTGTTGTGTTCTATTGTTCCAAAATTCAATTCTCAAAATTTGAACCCGCCTTTGATAATCCACGCCTCCTTGTGAACGACTAGTCAATGCAAATCTGGAGATTTTTTAATGGCAATTGCGCTTCAACTTCTGACACATTCTTCTGTTTCTTCTCTTGGGTTCTTCCCTTGTTTCAACGATCTGCATCGTGGGAAAAAAACAAGAAAAATGTTAAAAATACACTTTTTTATTTATTATATCGTAAATATGAACTTCTTGTTCATAAACCTCCGAGCTTTTAATCAAACGGGCGAAGCCTTCAAAGCAATGTATCAAATTCCATTCTACTTTCTCAGATTAAATGACCAACTGGGTCTGGTGTGGAACTACAATTTACACATTTTCTTGAAGCAAATGTTTTATTTCTTGAGTATGACGCTATGGGACACCAAAAGTATAAATCACATATCGTTCTCCTAAATATTTATTTATATTTATATCAAATGGCTGGCGTTTTAATAGTTATCATTAGCCCTTTAGTTGACTTCAGGCTTCACAGAGGGGAAGGAACATCAAAGTGAAAAAAGTCGAAGGGAAAGGGGGAACAAAAGAGTGTTTCAAAGATGTAAAAGAGACAGACTGACACAAAGGTAGAAAAAGGTAGGGTGAGGTGAGTACTATGGAAGAAGGCGAATATGACTTACAGTGGGGTGATGGTAGTTTGAAGTCAAAAGTCAACTGCCGGTTAATGGACTTTTTTTGCCGTATGAGAATATGTTGCCCAGGGTGCACCACGTGGAGGTACGTCTATTGCACACCCAGTTCTCCTAAATATCATTTAGGCCTATCATTTAAGTATAGAAT